GCATAGTCCAGGGCGCCCATGTCGCCGAGCCAACCGCGCCCAAACAGCTGCCCGTAGTGGGGTAGATCAGCGCGGGAGACGATAAGCTGCTAGCCCAGGCGAAGCGACTTTGCAGCCTGGTGCGCTCGGCCATGGCCGCCCCGGACCAACGATGGTGGGCGGCCCCCACCCAGAGCTGCTCGACGACGGCGAACACGGAACCATCTGGAGATCCAGCCAACGTAGTCGCGCGCTGGTGAGGAACCAGCCGGTCAAAGGCGATGATGCGCTGGGCCCCCCCCCCCACCCCACCCAACCACCCCCCCCACTACCCAAACCACCACCACCCCCCCGGCCAGCCCCGCCCACGAGCAGCAAAACAACACCACAACCGCGACGCCCACCCCCGAATGTAGGCTAACCCGAAGGCCCCCCACCCGAAGCCCCAGCCCCCCCCGCCGACGGCAAACGGACGCACATGGCGGAAGTCATTGAAGGACTTGGTCAGCCCGGTATCGGCAGAGACCGGCCACCCCCCTGTCGTGGACCGAGGATGAGACCGCGCCCAGGAACGCGAAAACGGCCTGCATGAAGAAGACCAGCGCGGACGGCAACCACGGTTACGATGTTGTCGGAGTGCCGTTGAGCCACTCGGTGGTGGGCCGTCACCCTGGGCGAACACGGCGTTGTACGAAGCCAGCAGACCGATCGCCAGCAGGCCAACCGCCAGCGCAACAACGTGCGGCGCAGTGAGAATGGGTACTCTTCACGGCGGCGACGCTGTGGCTGAATACTCCGTTGCCTACAGTGATTTGGTGGCCGAAAGCATTTGTGCCTCCTTGCGGACTTGAGGCGTCGTCGCGCAAACGTGTGACCTTTACGCTGTGGACCTGGCGTCCCTTGGAATGTGACCCTTCGCATGTTAGGCAGCGTGTGTTAAAGGTCCGTTGCGGGCCGATTAACAAACTATTGCGGATACGTTACTTTTTCTGTTTCGCGTGCCATCGGCGCGGTTCCGTGGAGGCCGGACGCGAGCCTTCCGAGCCTTCTGGGGCGTGTGTTATTCTCGAATTACCACGAGGGTGCTGAACAACCGACCACGGCATCGCATGGACGAATACCTGGAAACGCTGCGGAGCGCGATAGGGCAGCTCGACCGGGCGGTGGCGGCCTATGCCGCGGACCCGCACGGCGAGTTCATCCGCGACGCCCTGATTACCCGCTTCACTTTCACCTTCTCGCAAGCCGTCACCACGTTGGGACGTTACCTTGGGACCATATACCTGGTGACCGATGCCAGGGTGTTGTCGCCGCGGCAATTGATACGCCACGCAGCTCGGCTCGCCGTAATCGCCGATTGCGAAGCGTGGCTGAGGCACGTCGAAAACCGTAACCGCGTAGCGCACGCATACTTGGAGTCGATGGCGATCATGGTCGCGGACGGCGCCGCTGGGTTCGCTGCTGATGCCAGGGCGTTGCTAGCCGCCATGGAGCGTGGGATAGCCGATGGCGGGTGAGGCCGGGCGCGTCATGCTGTGATCGGGAACCTTGACGATATGCGGGACGCGGAGTTCTTGGACTCCCGATTGCCTGTGCTATGCTGGCCCCTAACGACCTTGATCAAGTGGGCTTCGCGACACCGTGCAGACCGACCTCGACATCGCAACGTTCCGTAACGCCTTGGCCCCGTTTGGACGAAGCTCGGGTTGAGCGCCAGCCAGCCCGAGAGCAGCTTCATCAGGACATCCGTCATCCTTCGGTTTACCGTAACGTTCGAGACGTCGGTTGGGTCCTGGTGCGCTATCTGCAGGAAGTAGCGGGCGTTCGCGACACGAACCGCGTTGTCCTCCGCGCCGGCGCCTGCGTGAGGCTGCGGACCTGGGGCTGATTTCCGAGTGCGCGGAGTGGATGGAGCACGTCAACAACCGCAAATCGGACCGTCCACGCCTACAGCGAACCGATGGCCGATGCTATCGCCTGCCACGCCGCTGGGTTCGCTGCTGTGCTCGGGCATTAATTGGTAGCCATGGAGCAGGGCATTGCCGATGGCGGGTGAGGCGGGGCGCGTCATCGACCTGCCGGAAGCGCACCGACAGCAGGTCCTGGAGATAATCCGCCGGCGGCTGCCGGACGCCACGGTCTGGGTGTACGGCTCGCGCGCCAGGGGGCATGCCCGCCGTTACTCGGATCTGGACCTGATGCTGGACAACAGAGGGGCGGCCATCCCACGATCTGTGATGGGTAACCTGGACGAGGACTTTGACGAGTCAAGCCTTCCCATCATCGTGGAACTGCACGATATGGCGGAAACCGACGCGACGTTCCTGACGCGGGTACGGAAGGATTTCTTGCCGTTGGCCTGAACCATTTCCCGAGGCCCGGCTATCCTCTGTGTATAATGGGCGAACCGGCCGGGCCGGCCTGAAATGAAAGAAACGGAACACCGTCCCAACCGCAATTCCCTTAAGCAGAGGTGTACCCCATGGCTGAATACGCGCATCCCGAATCATTGGTGACTACCGACTGGGTGGCCGAGCACGGCGGCGACGCCAACGTGCGTCTGGTGGAGGTGGACGTGGACACGTCCGCTTACGAGCAGGGCCACATCGCTGGCGCCGTCACCTGGAACTGGCAGAGCCAGTTACAGCAAAACGTGGCGCGGGACATCGTCTCCCGTGGAGAGATGGAGGGGCTGCTAACCGGCAGCGGTATTTCTCCCGACACGACCATCGTCCTGTACGGCGACAACAACAACTGGTTCGCCGCCTGGGCCTTTTGGCAGTTGCATTACTACGGCCACCAGAACGTCCGGCTGATGAACGGCGGGCGCGCCCTGTGGCTGGCGGAGAACCGGGTGACGACCACCGACGTGCCGTCCTACGCTGCCAGCAACTACAGCATCACCACGGAGAACACCGACCTGCGAGCCCTGCGGGACTACGTGCTGGACGCGGTGCGGAGCGGGTCCCACGCACTGGTCGACGTGCGTTCGCCCGACGAGTTCTCCGGTGCGCTGAACGCCCCGCCCAACCTGCCGCAGGAAGGTTCACAGCGCAACGGACACATCCCCGGCGCGGCCAACGTTCCGTGGGGCCAGGCGGTCAACGAGGACGGCACCTTCAAGTCCGCCGACGATCTGAGCGCGCTCTACGGCGGCAAGGGCGTGGATGGCAGTCGCGAAACCATCGCCTACTGTCGGATCGGCGAGCGTTCTTCGCACACGTGGTTCGTGCTCAGCCAGCTGCTGGGCTACGACAACGTGCGCAACTACGATGGCTCCTGGACCGAGTGGGGCAGCATCGTGGGCGCGCCGATCGAGCGGGACGTGTAGCGGCAGACACGGCGACAAACACTCGCAACTGACCGTAGGGGCGAATGGCTATTCGCCCCTACGAGTAAAGACGCGCTTGAGCACAACCTGGCGTGGACCAAGGGACTGCTGGTTGACGTGGACACCGTCTGGCAACTGCGCATAAACTGGCGTTCAATGATTGCTTCGACGAGGATGATTTGATATGGCCGAATACAACCTGGCCGTTATTGCCGGCGACGGCATCGGGCCGGAGGTGATCTCCGAGGGACGCAAGGTTCTGGACGCGGTGACTGCTCAGACCGAGGGCCTGTCGTTCCGAGCCACTGAGTACTCTTGGGGCAGCGACTATTACCGGGAAACCGGACGAATGATGCCCGAGGACGGGCTGGAGCAGCTTTCCTCCAGCGACGCGGTGCTGTTCGGCGCGGTGGGAGACCCGAATATTCCGGACCACGTCACGCTGCAGGGCCTGCTGCTGCCGATGCGCCGGGCCTTCGACCAGGCCATCTGCATACGTCCGGCGGTGCTGTTCCCTGGGGTCGAGTCGCCCATCGCGGGCAAAGCCGCCGGTGATGTGGACATGGTCATCTTCCGGGAAAACACCGAGGGCGAGTATGCGCCCGTAGGCGGCCGGCTGTACGCCGGTACGGCCCACGAAACAGTCATCCAGAGCGGGGTGTTCACGCGGCGGGGCACGGAGCGGATCATCCGCGCCGCGTTTTGAGCACAGCGTCCGTCGTGGAGGCAAGAACAAGGTGACCTCGGTTACCAAGTCCAACGCCCAGGCGTTCAGCATGGTGTTCTGGGACGAGGTGTTCGAGGACGTCGCCGCCGAGTATCCCCAGGTGCAGACGGAATCGCTGCTGGTAGACCGGGCAGCCATGGACCTGGTGCGGTGGCCGGAGGACTTCGACGTGATTGTCGCGTCCAACCTGTTCGCCGATATTCTATCCGACATTGCCGCCGTGGTGACGGGCAGCATGGGGCTCGCGCCCAGCGCAAACATCAACCCCGAGGGAACCTTCCCATCGATGTTCGAACCCGTGCACGGCGCGGCATTTGACATCACCGGGAAGAACCTGGCGAATCCACTGGCCACGATATTCGCGGTGGCGATGATGCTGGACCACCTGGGCGAGCACGCCGCCGCCGACCGGGTCAACACCGCCGCCCTGAAAGTGCTGAACGAACGGACCGTCCTGACGAGCGACCTGGGCGGGAGCGCCAGTACCCAGCAGGTGGGCGATGAAGTGGTGAGGCTGCTGAGCGAAGGTACAGTCTGAATATTGCTGTCGTTTCTGTCGCGTTTACCAACATCTTTGGTGAGCACTGTAGCTTGCTGGCAACAATCGCGCTATCGGCTTGCTTATACCCGAATACTGGGCCCATAGGCGCAGCAGGAATGCAATGGACAAGCACCAACAATGGCTCTCACGTCGCGCATATCACGAAACCTTCAGCACCTCGAGCGCGCCAATATTCAAATGGCGCGGATTGCCAAATCGTTGCAGGTGCGGTTGTGGCGGAATCTGGTACGACAGAGTAAGCCCAGTGAATTGGTGGAGGTATTTTGATCTCACGCTTCTCATTCGGTTGCGACTATTGTTCCCGCTTTTTCCGTCCACTCTACGGGCTACTTTGGCATTTGCCGCAGGTGATTTGGACATGGTTTCAATTTATGCGTGCCGGATATAAAGACGAGGTTCGCTCACGGGTCGAACCGGGCGAGAGCGTCCGTGTGGTCACGGTCGTTACCGGCTTACTCGTATACGCCATTTTGGCGCCTTTGGTGATCGGCGTTTATGTAACCGCTTGGCTACTTACAAGAATTGGCGGCGTCGCCATTCTATCACTGCACGGGTTGTGTCTGGCATTAGCATCGATCTTACTTTTGGGGTTGCTAGGTTTCGCTATAGTAGCCATCGCAATGCGAGGCCTCGTGTTCGTTGTAGGTGGTGTAGCATCGATCACATACTCGTACTATCCGATCGTTGGCATCGCTCTGATCGTTGCCGGGATGTTTTTGGAATACGAACGCTACCGACGCAACGAACTGAAACGAGAAGAACAACTCGGTAACATCATCCTGCTCTCGCAACAATCATCGACAAAACTGTGATAGGTCGACGCCTGCGGTCAATAACTTCCCTTCAAATGCCAGCGCCATCCCGAATTACCACAACGAACTGTGGGGCGTTCCCACAACACTACAGATAATGATCAGCGATGAACGGAAACTTTGATAGGCAGGGACCCAGATTGGCCGATCACCACGGTTGGACCAACAAACTTGGGAACCGCGTCTTCGTTACCAACAAGGGAGCGTTGCGTTTCAAGGTGCCGGACGTGCGCCGTCGACAAGTAAAACCGTGGAGCCGGCCTCCCATGACAAAGTGGCTGAAGGATTACCTGGACGACGACTCCAGTCGAGCGCTCCGGGTGTGGAGCGACGCTCTGGGCACGCTGAAGCTGGACGAATACATCGGAAGCCCGTTTCGCGGGCCGGGCAGATAGGAACGAAACACTATGACCACATCACCACCTTCAGCCGCCATCACCC